AGGATTCACCAATAGTCATTCTATATGTCGGCAGAAAAAACTGTTAGGGAATGGTTTCACGAAGGTTAGGTGTTTTATATGCTTTTTGAAACGCTGTTCAAACATAAATACCGTTTCCGGTTTTGCAAGATACAAGTTGAAGGCATTTTGACAACTGCAAGCTGCATTAGCACCGAAGGAACAAATAATCACCTTCAATAGTCACCTAGAAACCATTACACTACATGATGTCGGCTTCTCCTAGTATGACTGGGGTTATATATATGCAAAGGCGACGTTGGAGAAGCTACATCGTTTGTGAGGTGCTTTACCTAACTAGATTTGTCTAAATGTGATGACAATGACCAACTTTAGCCGCTTAGCCTCTCAAGGCAGTGTTAGCTTAGATGAGTGGCTGCCCATTGGCATACGTTTTCACGATTAGATAGAGAAGAAACTTTTGTGTCATCCGCAAAGTTACTATTCGTAAAGCGGATGTTCAAGCACGCTAGTTTGAAAAATTTTACGTAAGTTTCCACAGACAAGAAGCTAGAACCTAGGCTGAGCAGAAGATTCTGAAAAATTTTTGAATATTTCCTTCTTGATATCCTTGTGCATTTTTCTATTGATAGCTTTGTATATATTTATCTAGTTCAACGATTTCAGCTCCAAATGCCTATGGAGCAGTATGCTTTGCGTGTGTTTATCCGTCATTAATGGAGCAAAGGCTTAACAATACTTAAAGCCGTCGATATCAATTAATGAAGGAGAAGGTGCTGGTACTGCGGCAAAATCGGCTGTAGGCAGATGATTTGAGCCATTCAAAGAAATGAATCTTGATCTCAAAGGCATACCTCGCTCTGGCCTGCCATCTGTTTGGGTGAAAGTGACTTGCAAATGGTTTTGGATGCTGAGGCTTTATCTAGCACTCGTGACTTGGCTGAAGAGCTTGGTGTTTCGTAGGGGACCGTTGTCAAGAAGTTACACCAGTTTGACTTTGCCCACAAGAAGGCTCGTCAGGATCCGCATAAGTTTCTTTGATTATGGCCTCTTTCGATCAATATAACACCTGTGAGCGTCCGTCGATTCCAATTGTTTGATGAAGTTGGAAAAGCATGCTAAGAGTTTTTCAATTCCTAGTAATCAAAATGGTACTTTGAGCAGATCCGAAATCTTGTAGAACATTGGCAGCCTGCAGAACATTGGCTCCCGATAAGCCTGCAATATTTGTTTAGATTTTCGAAGAAGAAAGAACTACCCCATAAACATGCCGAGAGCTCCAAACGATCGTTTTGTGATTCTGTTCTTGGCCGCAACGTGAGCTTGGATGTGGAGTGATCCTGCAGGACAAGGTAACGAATGACAGATTATACAAACATATGTGATCCAATTATAATAAATTTTTTTAATCACACGACCCTTCATCACAATTTCTTTCGTTGTCTGGATACCAATACTTCTAGCATTCTATTCGTTTTTCGTCTTTTTCTTCTTCATTGATGTAGAAAACTGGTCGAGTATGACTCCTTGCAATCTCGAGGACAGCCTGGCTGTGGCTTTCCATAAGGCGTTGTTGTTGAATGCCGGATAGTGGTGGGGGTGGAGCTTAGCTCCATGCGCGCCACGAACGAGCATCACAACCATTGGTCACGACGCCTCCAATCAGAATAAATATATCTAATTATCAATCACTGCATAAAGCTCTTGCGAAACAAGCCTCTCGATTAGGAAATTTTGTATTACAAGTTATACAAAAAATCCTGAAAATCACGTTGTATAGTGGCTCAATTTAAGTTTTTCACTGAAAAGTTGCAGAATTGCGTTGCAGCAAGCACTAGGACGTTCACTGTCACGGGCTTGAGGACTTTACTGTTGCTATGGTTTACGCTGGAAAGCCTAAAGTTTCTTTTCGGTTTCCTGGGTACTGCAGCAAACGAGGCGGGGCAAAGGGTTTTGTAGAACGTCTTGTGACGCACACAGCAAGTTAGAAACCTTTGACTCGCAAATTATGTGAATATTTTGAAGGTGAAGGAAAAGAGCTCTTACTTTTGTGCAATTCGTCAGTCACCTGGTGTTGACATGGTTTGCATAGCTCCGTACAATTTGTTCGAATACATTTTCTAATAAGTTATTCAAACTACTGAAAGGATATCGTTCACATCTCTGATGTTTTCGAACGCCAAGGCCGTAGTGCACTCTTACCTGAAGCTGTAATCTCGGCCATTTTGGGTCAACGTGAAGTTAGAGTCACATATGCACCATTTTAATATCAAGATGTTATGCTAAATCCAGCGACTGACATGGGTACGGTCATCCATATGAGCATCCATTTGAGAAATTTCAAAAGAAATGTACCTTTCCTGGTTAACGCAGTGCCTTTGCTGCAGTTCAAAAAATAACTCTCCGGAAAGTTAGCATGCGCTCCTGGAGTTTTTTGCACACTCACACTCTACATTATTGGGTATATCAAAAACAACTCATATGGAACATTAGTAAAAATGCTCTGAATAAAAGAAACACTATTGAAGTGCACCAAAAGCAACACCTTTGCAACTGATGACAATTTTTCATGTAAGTTTTCATATCTTCTTCTGAGAGTGACACATGCAATGCGTGATGTGTTGAAAGAGTTTGAAGAGTATAAGGTGGTCAATTCTCAAAATTCTTTTAACTTTTATCAATTTTCCATTTTAATGAGAAAAAGTCTTTTTCAAAGTTTGACAAATTTTCAGTGAAGATGAATGAACGGTAGTGCATTATTGTCGGCAACATGGTGACAGGATTTTGCAATGGACTCATGGGAATACTAGCCCAGGCATGATGGTATGCACCACGCCAAAGGACATGATGGTGGAAGTAACGCCTATTCATCAAAATCATACGACATTCTCAGGAACTCTCTCTGTTAGCTCAGCTTTCTTTCTCCATAAGCTTCGTTTCTCGAAAAAGAATCTGTGCAGACCACAAACATCGTTATGGCGAATTGGTCGAGTTCGATGTGGCAAAGTGTAGTAGATAGGACACTTCGAGTGTTAGCATCGGGTCCATCTGGATCGCATTTCTTCTCGGCAACTGCCACTGTCGGCGGAAACTGAAACTGAACCTCGATCTGTTTGAAACGAGCATTTTCATTTTGACGATAATTTTTTTAACAACATAGCAGCAGTAAACTGACGAATCACATCACTGTTGATTACTCATAATAATTCAGTAAATTACACGGAGGCGTGCAACGTTATATAGTTCGATTTTGTGATCTCTTTGGAAGCAAGAGAACTTCGCAAAGTAAAAGTCATAGAACAAGTTTGTTTCCTTATGGTCGAGAAGATATTGCGTTATTGTGGCCATAATAGAAATAGTGAAAAGGATTAAAAACGAAAGACTAGAACTATCGGCATTGATTAATCCTCAAGAGATACGCCATGCATTTACATTTACCTACCATCTTTTGAGGTTACTAAATCCATACATGGCTTCTACAATGACTCATGACCAATCAGTGCAGATATTCCAGATAATTCTAATAATAATTACCAACCCTGGATTGATGGACGCCTTGATGAGCCTTATGGACTTGATCGCCGTCAAATTGAATGATCGATCACAAATGTGTCATAGAACACCTCTAACCACTACGCCACATGGATTCCGGAGAAGGAGAAGGGTTACAAAATATATAAATTGGAAGATTCAAATAAATACCATGGTTTTGCAGAAATTCCATTTTGAAGCTCCAACCATAAATCTACTCAACAGGTCATTGGGAGCTAGCAATATTCGGTAGCTAAATTTCACTGAGTGACGTCAAAATAAGACAACTGTTGAAATTTATTTCTTAACATTATAATCATGTGTGCTATTCAAATGATGAAAACAGATCTGTCTTCCTGCAAATACGTTCCCAATGTCGAGTGCGGAAAATGGTTAGTAAAGAAAAAAATGTCGGTATCTCGCCAATTGGCCAACTTCATTTGAGACCTGCACATGTTTCATGAAAAGTCTTTATAGATGATTGACGGCAGTAGATGTTTGAAGTCCCTTGAACGTTCTCCTCTATGCGCCTGCCTTCACTAGAGTTCTACCTGAGTCTATTAGGGTAAAATGAAGCGTTTGGAATGACATAAGTATTTCATACAACATACCTAAACATTAGATATCTGCCAACATATTTTGAATCTTCCATAAGGTCTGCTATAGCATCTATATAGTGCAAGACACATGTTTCGGCCTTACAACCTCATCATTGCACAGTGTCTTTCGATTCACTCATTTTCTCAGCGACAAATCCCCTGTATAGAGAAATCGACGCCGAACCGTTTACACTCAACGTACGGTGAACGAGTCACCATGGCATTCTTACAGAGTAACTGATTGTAGATTGCATAGCTCACGGCTGTTAAAGAGCACATATAACAATACCCTTTAATCGACTATTTTGAGACCTCCTTGAGACAATATAATCCGAAAACACGTGCCTTTCGGCTCAGTCACCCTAGTTGATTGACAGATATTGTTATATATTAGATAACTTACTACGTTCAACGCATTTATTACAAAAAGTGGTAGAATCTTTGCAAAGAGGTCTGTAAATAAAATTATTGATGTTTTTTCAAGTGAAAATAACCATTTCCAAAAACTTTCTTTGCACTGAACATGGCTCAAGTTATTTCAACGCTTTCGTGTCGACTGACCTTTCTGAAGTCAATACGAAGTTCTAAAAAAAAAGCAGTAAGATCTTTCGAAACATCATTTTCTTCTCAGCAGTTTATTTTAAATTATGGAACTATCCTCGTTCAAAATTCTGCCTATTTGACTGCCACTTGCAGTGGTATGATCTTATAGTATACCCAATATGTGGAGTGCTGTGCAAAAACGTTTGCGTCAGCCGGTCCGGCGGAGTAGCCGCTATCGGCACTGAACCCACTTGTGTTGACAGACATTGGATATCGATAATCAGTCTATCGGTTTGCTGTTGGCAGATAACCACGTTATAGCGTAAATAAGAGTGCTGTGCAAAGCGAGCGTCGGTAGTGCAATGGTTAGCATACGCTCCCGGAAAGAGTGATATCTGCGTTCGATTCCCGGCTGACGCAAACGTTTTTGCACAGTACTCCACATATTGGGTATCTTCGTTCACTTAAAAGGAGTGAGTGGTGAGCAAAAATTCGACCGAAAGTGAGAGTTGAGCCCGCGTTTTGAGTTTTTGCTTACTACTCAATTCTCTTAGGTGTATTTGAAGCATCACATCTTATTTGAATATCATAACACTTCGGAAAAGCAGTAAAAGCTCTAGAAATCCTGCCTTCGGACGCACATGCGGTGGCGGGCGTCGACATGTGAAGGTCGTCACCTTCATAATGCTTAACTATAAAATCAATAATTGTGTTCTGTATAATATTACTTTGCATCTACAGAATATTGTGGACCTCATAAAACAAAAAAAAAGATTATTCTTGTGCTTTTGCAAGGCAAAATTCATGAAATGGTTATCGAATTATTTTCTCATTTTACTGGATTGAACGCCGTACGAGAACGAATGCTCCATCACAAGAACCATGAGAGCCTGTGAACCTTTGATTCGGATCACTGTGGCCCTAATGATGACGAAGATGTGTAAACATTTTCCTAATAGGACTTCTGACAGCATTTAACATAGCCTAATCATGCAAAACAATATTAATTACCTTACCAAAGTCAAATAAAGGGTTCTCCTAGATATGTTGATTTGACACTACATAGCAAGCTTTTCTTAAAAACGATTGCTTAGATGCTTGGAGGTAGGCTTACACTATCGCTATACAACACAATCACGAAATCTGAGTGTTCAGGTCGAACAACGAATTACTTCTGCACTTGAAGGAATACGGCTCATGCCACTGTGGAGATACCGAGAATTGTGGCGTAGTTCAGATATTAGTGATAAAATCCATTGACTATACGTTGAAGAAACAGAGACAGAGGAGCACTAGTAGGTGTGGGGCTTTTCTAGCACAGAAGTTGCTTTCCAGGAGAGCTCACCTTACTTATCCATTGGAATTGGAAACACCTAAAGTGGAAGCTCTGTTAGTCAAAGAAGTATAGGAGCATTTACTCTACAATTCTCAACATAGACAAATAATCACTTCATTATTCAGTAAATACAAATGCGAATAAACAGTTTGTAAAGAACAATAACTTTACACCTTCTTGTTCTTTCTTGCATACCGAGCACAAAATTTTGAAACACAATTCTTTGAGACAGCCGACGTTTTGGCGATTTCACGTTCTTCAGAGCCTGGAAAGGTCACGTTGAGCACAACACAGTCTGCCAAACACCTTCATTATTCAGATAGAAAAAAATCCATATCTAGATTTCAGTCGCATTAAGCACAAATTCTTTTTCAACATAATTACCTCGTTCTATGAATCACCCATTGATATTTCTTTCTTCTCAGGTCCTTCCAAGTATACGACTGCCTTCCGAAGAACATCAGTTTCATTCTGCCTAATTGATCTAAGAAGTTTTCAGAGTTTTCGGTTGATGAATTAATAGAGTCCTTTTGGTACGTTCCGCCGTTTTTTTCGTGCTCAGTGACTTTTTGAAAGTTCCTCATTCTGGATAGATAGTCATTCGAAATCTTATTTACCCGTATTTGCGACAAGGGACATTATCCCGTCGTGCACAACGCAAACGGTTTTTCATGTTCTAAGCCAACCCTTATTAATGGTATGCAAACAGCTGCTTTGCATCGATCTCTTTTCTGTCTTTTCATTTTTTCTCTTTTTTGCTTCTCCCTTTTCTCTCAGTCTTTTTTCGCCTTTCAACTTCTATCAGAGAGCATATCTTTTCTTATTTCTTGTTCTGGCTCTATTACTGAATGATTTTTTACTCTCAATTTCAGATGAGCGTTCTGAACCATACTCAGCACAACAAACGTAATTGAAACATCTGTCATTGATCTGCAGAAGGTTCATTTACCCGGTTCTTTTCCTATCGTCTTTCTGTACTTGCTAGTGATAAGAAATGAGCACATAAAGAGACGTTATCAGAGGATGTCTTGACCCAATCAATGAGATGTTTCTGCATCTTCGCACTCTCTTCGTCATTACCATTTCCTTGGCAATAATGCATCAGGTACACACCATTTTTTGGAGAGAAAACTTTAGATTCAACATTCCATTAGCAAAAACTTTTTGCAATCCTATTTGAAACGGTAGCTTTTTGCCGTCTGTCACTAACCGGGAACGTCATTCGAGGCATATCAGGAACATCACACTTTTTCGTACGACTTCTTTTTCGTTAATCGTGAAAAAGCTCTTGGAGATGTACGCAAACGCACTATGGAAGGGAAATATAATGAAATAAGCTTCAAACTGCTTTATAGGCCCCTTTTACCACAGATTTCATTGCATCCTCTTAAGCAAAAAAGATTTGAAATTGAAATTTTACAACTGAATGGATATCTATTTTGTTTCTAAGATCATTGCATAGGCAGCAACCTTCCTATATGATCAAAGTTCAATTGTTGATATTTTCCTGAATCTAAAACTAAATTTTTGTGAATGGAGGAACAATGAACACAGTTGAATTTCTCTGCTGCTATTTTCAAACTGTCTGGATTTCCAGATTTTCCAGAAAACTTATGGCATACGTGCAATGCAATGCTCGCTAAAATGAATAAAACTTTTTCCGGTATTTTTATCAGCAATGGTATAGGTAGCATCATGTGTAGAAACGTTAATTCATCACAAGGACTTCTATATTCCAAATAATACCAATGACTAAGCCCTTACGAGAAAATGAGATAATCATGACCATTTTAAGGTCCATTTCATTGATCTTGCTAATTTACTATGTAATTTGAGGTGGTTTCAGTCGTTTTGCTGGTTTCTTAGTCTTTTTGGCATAAGGTGCAGAAGTTTCACTGCGGTGATGTTTCGATCCAAAGATCCAAAGTGGTCGGAAAGCATAGGACCAAAATTCAATGTTTACAGAATCTGCCACCTTATCGGCATGTGCCCGCTCGAGCGAGTAATCCATTCGTGAAGAGTTCTTTACTATCACATCAATAAATCATTCTCTAAATAATAGTCTAAATAGTCTCTTGAACATTCTCAAACGACAGCAATTCAATTGTGCCTAAATCTACTTCATCAGACTTCGCTGCTATTCTCAATCCAGCAATGCGAAACATTCACAGTACCATAATGTTAAAGCGTGAATATCGAATTCGAATTGACCATCTACAAGGCAATTTGAAATCGGATTTAGAGGTCAAACTGTTAGATTTAGAATTTGAGTGAGATTTGTGAACAGCCTTTCAATCATAATATGCTACGTGAACAATATCAAAAAGGGATGAAAGGTCTCAATAAAATTTTGTGTTCGCATTGAGAAGTCAACGGATTCAAGATAAGCGCCTGAAGACGAGTAGCAGCTTATGAAAATAAATTCCCCTGACTCACAAAGACTTATCTTCGAGCAAGAGTGGTCTATCGGTTCCGTGAGAACGGCTGAAGCACAAAACTACTTCAAAAGTGAAGGTGGAACTGTAAGCAACAACATTGTGGATGCCACAGCATTCGACACATGTCAAGAACAGTGGAAACAACGTCTAGCACCATTACAAAAGCATTGTATAAGATAAATATAAATGAGAACATGGGCGATAATTGAAGCTTTTGATAAAGCGTGTGAATGTATGCCTTTTGTTTATATCATGTATATACATAGTAGTATTTTATTCGTATACTCTCCTGCAAGTTCTTCAGTCGAAGAAAAAATCGAATTCGAAAGGCGAAGAGTTCATTGTGCACACACGAAAGCTTACCAATTCATACTGAGTTGGCAGCTGTGTGATTTACTGTACTTGGATCGCTGCGCGCAGAGTCAATCGAAAAACGAAGAGCGATTTTTTGTGATTTTAGTGGGATTTCATGTCCCGCTTTCGAAAAGCTATGGGTATTCGAATTGCCTTGATGCGTCATGTTTTTTATACACTTTGACTTATTCTTTTGTGCGTATAAAACTCCTATGTATGAGGAAGAACTTGCGTTCACTGACGCAACCATCTAATGTTGCCATTCAGGCAGATGTAATAAATTGCACAAAAAATGTTATGAATGAATTCTTTTGTGTGGTTTTTTTCTTCAGTATGTGAAATGTTTTGAAGTCGACATAAGGGCTGAACTTTGAAACGTAATGATACATTAATAAAAACCCAAACATACTATGATACAATATTCTAAGGTGCGCTCCTTGCACTCTCATTTAACATTGGAGAAAAAGAGAAAATAAATAACTACTCAATACAAGTCCCTTTTTGATCACAGGTGGAAGTTCGTGAACACGTGAACGAAACAAAAGAAGATGTTAAAATTACTATTCATAAGATCCCAAACACCGTAACCATTCAGTTGCCAACCCAATAGATTCGCATAAAGATGTATCCTCACAGGTGGTGCGCAGAATATTTACGTTACTGAAAACAGTTGCATATAAACACTGATCTTAGTTCTTTTCATCATTATTTGAGCCAACATGTCATGTGGTCTGGAAAGGGCTCTTGTACAGCCCGAGACACGTGTTTCGTCCTTACAGACTCATCAGAAATTTGAGCGTGGTCTAAACAAAGCACTCGAGATAAAGGTATAACGGATCTTAGTTCTCTCCATGATTAGTTATGGTGTAGTTTCGTGAAAGTAACTTGAAAGTCTCCGTCCCACTAACAGCAACTAATGAGAAGTCGACAATTACACATAAACGGCGATGATAACTCATATGTTACCCTGGGCGGGTGTAGTTGAGAGCATTCACGAGTTACCGAGACTCACTTTATCACCTGTTGTCCCGTTGATCGTCGAGTGACTCGAGCGGGTACCAGCAACTCGTCCATTTTTCCCTATCGCCTGCAAGAGTAGCCCACTGGGTCCTCCTCGCTCTAGGGATTCGCTGAGCATCATATCTTTCTTTTATAGCTTTTATGAAGAAATCGGACCAACGGGTCAGTGGTCTTCTTGTGGAGCGCTTGATGTCCCGAGGAATCCAGTCGATAACGGCTGGTCGTCCATCAGTTCTCGTTCAAGCGCATCACGTGTCCGGCCCAACTTATTT